GCTTTCCTAAGGAAAAGGAGGCATCCTCAAGCAAGGGGCTTCAATATTCTTGAAATACACTAAAAACGGTGGATCTTTGGGGGGGGGGGGTACCATATATATGTATGTACATAGGTAGGGGCAGTGCCAAATCGTGCCGTATCCAGATTGGGCAAATTACAACCACCTCACCCCACCTGTCTTCAAAATTGCGGCTGAGACAGAAAATGGCACTGGCCCCGAATTTTCCCTCATTCTGGAATTTTCTAGGGATCCAAATAGCCCATGTAGGTAATATTTATAGACTGTAGAGCCCAATGTAGGTATTATTTGTGTACTTGGGTCCCTAGGAATTAGTATACAATTATCAGCCTAGCTCCTCTTCGCGGGGTTGTTTTGTCGTCGTGTGTGGGCTTGTCTACATACATACGACATGCTGCTCCCTACGGGAACCAACGGGCTCAAAGTCTACAAATAATGCCCCAAACCCTAAAGAGTACACTAGGCATCAAAGTCTATAGATGTTACACCTGAATTATTGGGCTTTTTGGAGCCTTAAAGTAGCGTAATAAAGGCTAGAATTATAACACACGCACATGAGAGCAGAGGTTCTTGAACGGCGAGTACGGCCAGATCTCCGACTGCCCAAACCAAGAGTACGAGGCATATCTCGTCGAGGCGAGACAATGCCCCATAGGATTTCGGGTTTGCGGCCGCAACAGCACACTGAACCCCAAACCCTGCAGTTAGGGGTTTAGGCGGTTAAATGTCATAATTCTATGTAGCAAACTCCCTACCTGGACCCTGTATGACCTAAAAACCTTTCTGGATTCTGGAGCCTTTCCTTTACGCATGTAGGACAACCTCAAAAGGAGGGACATGCTACGTCCAAATAAGTTCTACTTCATCGGTCAGTGGGACTTAGTGTGCGCTTATGAAGTCCCCCTGGCCCTCCAACCCTAGCTTAAAACCCAGGCCTTTAACCCCAAACCGTAAACCCCACCGACTTCCAAAGCCCCCCTGATCGTCCAGTACGCCCATGAAAAATCAAGGCAAATCCGCACTTCGAGACGGAACTGAACAACAAAGCCGCAACCTCTGTCCCAGGGAAGGACACACGGCTCGAAGTTAAGTGTAATGGAGACCCGTGATTGATGAACCCCCCTCCTTTGAAGGGCCTTAATATTAGGATCCCTGTTATAACCCCTTATTAAGAGGAGGGGGTCTATGCCAAAGTTTAGGGTTTAGGGTTAGTAGGGATGGAAAACACAGGGGAGACAACTATTTTCGCGCTGAAAGTTGAGGGTTTCGGGCGAGTTTGAAGGAAACTGGGAGCGCCTGTTTGATTTAGGGTTTAGGGTGTAGGTATTCTGCCAAAGTTTTGGGTTTAGGGTTAGTAAGGAAAGGAAAAGACAGTGGAGACAGCTATTGAAGGGCTTAAAGTTGAGGGTTTCGGATTAGTCAGGAAAGGAAAATGGAAGCGCCCATATTATTTAGGATTTACGGTTTAGGTATTCTGCCAAAGTTTAGGGTTTAGGTTTAGTAAGGAGTAGGGAATGGACAAGAACATGGAAACTATCATATTTTAGTTAATTATGCTTTAGGATTTAGGGTTTAGGGTTCCAAGTGTAAGGTTCGGGGTTTAGGGTTAGCAAGGTAAGGAACGGAAGGGCATGGGGTTTAGGGTTTAGGTATTCTTGTAGGTTCACGAAATTCTTTACGTGTACTTCTGGCTCCCCTGCAATCTATGGGCGTGCTACTTGGTAAACACACTTGTAACTGCCCATGAACATTCAAGTACCCCAAACCCTAAACCCTAAACCCTAAACCCTTCAAACCTTGGTTTGAACCTGAGCTCTGAATCCCTTACCCTCCCCCCAACTAACAAGGGGGCCCAATTTAGGGTTTAGGGTTTAGGGTGCTTGAACCTGAAAAGGGTCCCTATATAAACGACTGGCATTAACAAAAGTGCTGATTTCAGGTTCCATGTTAGTTTGGGGTAACGCCTAAACCCTATAAACCCTGGGGTTGAAACCCTAAACCCTGTGTTTTTTTAAGGGTTTTGGGTTCAGGGTTCAGGATTTAGGGGTTTAGGGCGCAGAGTTCAGGGTTGAGGGCAGTGGACAGAGGAAATGTTGAGCCACTCCACAAGTACTGTAATGATTTCTATTCATGCTATTTCGGGGGAGGTAGGGCTTGGGGTGTAGATAGAGTCTTTACCAAGAATGGAGAGATATGGAAAAGAAAGCAGTATATGATAAGATAAGTGGCATCTTCTAGTGGTTCACAGGGTTGAGGATTTTGGCTCGAAACTCAACCTTTAACCCTAAGGGCTCCTTATAATAGGATCCTTCAGCCCAGTTGTTTTTTGGGGCGGACGTCCATACAGAAAGGGATAATTTGCTTTCGATTTATATGCATAGCTCCCCATTGCATAACTCCCCATTTCTTAGAGTTTAGGGTTGATGGGTTTAGGGGGAGGGGGGGCTCTTTTCTTCTGGTAAAGGCCCACAGCAGGATGGAACAGATGCGTAGAAAGTAATGTGTCTCCCATTTAAGTTCTTAGTTGCCTACATACGAAGGCCAGACTTTGGAGTTTAGAGATGTCATGTGAACCTTCCGCGCTAACGCTGACCTACCGTGCGCACTAAGCCATGCATGGGAGCTGCATTCACAGTACCCATCCCTAGCCCGGATATCTGACTCAATTCCATAATGTCATACGTAATATGGCTTCGTTATCATGGCGACTTATTTCGAGCCCAAACCCTAACCCCTAAACCCTAAACAGCAACCCCGTAACCGAAGGAGATCTACATCATGATGAACGGCGCCTGGATGTGTGAAGCTGACACCACGTTCCACGTAACCAGCGCTACCGAAGCTTGGTTTTAGGGTTTAGGGTGTAGGGTTTGGGTTTTTTTTTGGGTATAGGGATTGGGGCTGTGGGGTGGGGGGGAGGTGTTACGGGGGGTAGGTGTACCTTAATAAGGGCAAGATAGATAAGGCCTCATCACAGATTATTGAGTCCTGATTAAGGTACTTCCCTTCCCGCCCACCTCCAAAAAGAATACAAGAAAGCATATTTTGGGGAGACATCCCTAGTTAGCTGTTCGCTCACGGTCTTTTTCCTGCCCCTGCCCTTCTATCAGCCGCTAACACACTCTTCAAACCCTAGCCCCTGATCCCTGAATCCTTGACCCGCCAATCTTCAACATTCCAACTTAACAGCAGGAAGACGGTCCAACAACAATACTCCATTCTTGGAGTAGTATCCCTGGGTAGTTCCATATATACCCATGTAGTCCTATATACCCAGTATAGTCTAAGTACCCAATATACCCCAGAATAGTACCTAAAAAGCCTAAACCCTAATCCCTAAACCCCAAATCCTAAATCCCTAACATCCCTAACCCTAATCCCCAAATCCCTAAATCCCTAAGCCCTAAATCTCTAAACCCTAAATCCCTAACATCCCGAATCCCTAAACCCTAAATCCCTAATCCCTAAACCCTAAATCCCTAATCCCTAAACCCCGAATTCAGGCTGCATCATCCTTGGCGCCACAGGGCAATGCAGAAGATGTTAAGGTGCCATTCCAGGGGCTCCTAGGAGCTAGGTACCCCAGTAATACCCTTTTACCCTTTTTGTTTGGGGGTGTCCTTATTAAAACAGAACAGTAGGAAAAAGGGTACCCTTATTATTTAGGGTTCACTGGGGAACCTAGATGAGCTATAGTCTAAACAGGGTTTAGGGTTTAGGGTTTATATGGGGTGTATTCTAAGGGCTATTTAGGGGGATACTAGAAGGCTCCTATGAGCTACAATCTACATTAGAAGGGTTTACGGTTTAGGGCTTAGAGTAAAGGGGTTTGAATAGGGATTATATATATCAGTGTATTGAAGGGGGTTATTTAGGGGATGCTAGGACTTCAGGGTTTCAGGGCTTGGGATTTAGGGTTTCGGGTTTGGGGTTTAGGGTTTTAGGGTGTCAGGGTTTGGGATTCAGGGTTGGAGCTTTGGTTTTTGAATTTAGAGCAGGTGATATGTGAGCTTGTGAAATTGCGCCTACAGAGTTCATAGTAGGCACCTCTGTACCCTTTAAACTCCCCATCTATACCCCTAAAATCCTGAGGGTGCGCCCCTTTTTCTGGAACGCCCTTAGCCCTAAACCCTAGTCCCTTAACCCTTTATGCCCTTCAAAAGGACCTAAGGTTTCCATTTCTTTTTCAAATTTATTTTTCATTTGACTCTCCATTATTATACCCCCAGATGCCTGTGCATCCTCAGCTTGAGTTTGTCGAGCAATATCTCAGTCATTATCAAACACCATGGCCAATCCCGGTTGCTGGCTTAGGGTTTAGGGTTCAGGGCTGAGGAATCGTTGTTGTACATCAACCCTGAGCCCTGGATCATGGTCTGGACACAGGGTTCGGTGGCCGCACAAAGTAGAAAGAAGGGACTTACTTTGGCAATCAAACCCTACTTCATCCTGAGAGCAGGGCCTAAACCCTAAACCCCTAAACCCAAAACCCCTAAACCCCTAAACCCTAACCGCGTGGGGGCCTCCACCTTAAACCCTAAACCCTGAAACCCCTCAAAACCTTAAGTCCATGTACGGTCAGCATTGGAGATTGTATAGCAACCCCCCGTCCCCCCACGGTGCAGCCCAAAGCTCCAGGCCCGGTGTCTTAAACCTTAGGCCCCAAGGCTTATAAGTCCTCAATCTAAAATCCTAAAGCCTAAAATTTGAAACCCTAAATCTCAAAGCCAAAGTCGTAAACCCCACCTGCTAAAACCCTAAACCCTAAACCCCCAAACCCCAAAGCCTGTGTCTTACACCCTTCAAAACCTAAGTTTTGAGATCTTCGCCTGCTGACTGGGATGCTCTCGCTGCTTCCAGAACTGCGACCATCATTCTGCACTGGGCGGTGGACATTTCGTGTATGCGCATTTGCCTTACAATGCAGGATCATAAAGCCTTACACCCCTAAGACCTCTGGCGTTGAAACTCATGAAAGGATGTGTACTATGGGTCTGTAAACGTCAAGGTCACCTAAGATCCTTATATAGTTAGTATGGCCTTTGGGCCCAAATTCCTTCAAATATGAATCCTTAGCTGCTTATAGGAAAATTGAGTCAGGAATTTGGAGTAGAGACTTCAGGACGCCGCTTTGGAGCAGCGCTTGTGCACCCGCTCCCCCAATTTGTTAAGAGCGAGGCGTTCATGGTGGTTCCTGGGTATGGTCCGCCTCAAGTAGATGGAATATGGCTTTGGTTATATGATATCTATCTACTGAAGGGGGGGGACTATATGTATGCATGGTTTCAGCTAGATTTCATTTAAGAAAGGATAGCTGAAAAAAGTGGAAGGTGAGCTATGACCGAATTTAGGGGGGCATACAAACTGAATTCAAAACCGTGCTCAGAAGTGCTGATGAACCTTCATATACTGCCCTAAACCCTTAATCCTCAACCCTAAACCCTAAACCCTAAGCACTTAAGCCCCAAACCCCCACCCCCAGGTGCATCTGATCAATACAATTTCGCTGATCAAGTCAAAGACCATCCCTGGAGACAAGGTGCTGCTGAAGGTCGCCGGCGCAAGCACGTTTGGGGTTTCCAGTGTTTGGGCTTAGGGTTTAACACAGACCCCTGATTGATAAACCCCGTCCCCTTAATTGGGATTATAATCGGGGTCCTAATATTAAGGCCCTTAAAAGGAGGGGGTTTAGTAATCATGGAACTACATTAGGATTTGGGGTGAGGGGATTGGAGCGCAGGGGTTTGGTGGGTTTCGAGGCTTAGGGCTTACGCTTTTGGCTAAGGCCCCAGCTAAAGGGTGAAGGGTTAGAATTAAGGAAGCAAATAAGAATCCTGCGGAAGTTACCAGGCTGGGACAAAGCTTATCCCTTGTCCAAGAACTGCCCAGGGTGTATTACTACACCCTCAAAAGAAGTCACAACTTCTTAATTAAGGAAGACCGGAAACCTCACAACCCCCACATCCAAAAGCTTTTAAAGCTGTAAACTCTGATACCTCAATCGGCCTTGGGGCCTCAAAATTTAAACCCTAAATCCTGAACCCTCAATCCCACGCCCTAAATGCTATCTCCTCAACCTTTATCGTTAAAATCCTAAGAGCTATAAACCTTGAAGCCCTAAACCCTTAACCTCAAATCCCTATAGGGTTTAGGGTTTCGGGCTACTAAGCCTTACTAAGCCCTTACCCTCAAATCCCTACCTAGACCCTCCAATGTGGTTCCTTTTGGGATTTGGTGGGTTTTTTTTGGTTAGGACTCTTATTAGCTACTGCATTGGAGGGTTTCCTAAGGTAAATCCTGATACTCGGGTACTCTTAGCATGACGACAGGTTGACATCGAGGGTGCGGAGTTCGATATCATCCCATGTCTCGCGCAGTCAGACGTCCTTAGCCCCGACACACGGGCCGCAACAGCTAGGGCTCGGGGCTTGGGGTGTAGGTAAGGCTTACCCTAAGACTCAGAATATGAGGCTTTTGGGCCCAAAGAACATACTATACAAGGCTTTTGGGCTATTTTGAGCCTTAGGGTTATGGTTGGGAGTTCGGGTCTAAAGCTTTGTGTTTGGGGCTTAGGGTTTAGGATTTGGGGTTCACAGCTATCGGTTTTGGGTTCTGGGGTTTAGGTAAGGCTTAGGGTTTGGGGTTGAGGGTTTAGTGTACCTGCCCCAAACCTAACAACCATCTGTACCCTCTTCGTGGACAGTATTATGTAGAATCCCCTTTTAGGGTGATACGGTCCTTCACAAGGAACCGATGTCCAATGAATTATGTAAGAACAATACCTAAACCCTGTAGCTCACATGTCAGTTTAGGGCAGGGTAAAGCCTTGGCTGTAGGCCTGAAATCCTGGATGTTAGTAGATACATATGGGTTTTGGGTTTTGGGTATTCAAAACTCCCTTGATCGATAGCATTCAGTACTGTACTTTTCTCCTTTAAAACTCCCAGATCTGTACTCTCTTGCACTTATCATTGTACTTATCTTCTTTAAAACTCCCATGTCTGTAGTCTATAGCACTTATAATTGTACTTATCTCTTTTACAACTCCCATATCTATAATCTATAGCACTTATGACCGTGGTATCTCCTTTAAAACACGCATATCTACAATCTCTAGCACTTATACTTGTACTTATCTTCTTTAAAACTCCCATATCTATAATCTATAGCACTTATAATTGTACTCATCTCTTTTACAACTCCCATATCTACAATCCATTGCACTTATAACTGTAGGTATCTCCTTTAGAACTGCCATATCTATAATCTATAGCAACTATAGCTGTAGTTATCTCCTCTTTAATAAAGGGACTTTATTGGGAACCCCAAACAGGGAACCCCAAGAATATAGTCGGAATATACATACCAGGGTCCTTATGTTCTATTAAATTCCTATCATATTCTTGGGGTTCCCTGTTTGGGGTTCCCAACAAAATCCCTTTATACATATAAACTATTTGTAACCAAAGTTAGAACTTACGAGCCCAACCCTGTGTGGGTGCCGGATCTAACGGTTTCTCGGCCAATTGTTAGGCTATGCAGTATACGGTATACAGGGTTTAGGGCTGAGGGGTTTAGGGTTTAGCGTTTAGGGTTTGGGGTTTAGGGTTGAGGGTTTCTGTATATGGAAAATTGATAGGTTGTTCGTGCAAGCTTTCCTCCAACCTTAAACCCTAAACCACAAGGCCAAGTTTTAGGCTCATTTTGAGGCATACGGTATATATATTTGTATATAGGTAGATCGTTGGTGCAAGCTAGGTACTCCAGTAGTACCCTTTTGCCCCTTTTCTTCTGGGTCTCCTGATTAAAACTGAACAGTAGGAAAAAGGGTATCCTCATTATTAACGGATATTCATGGGTTACTGGGGAACCTAGACAAGATTCACAATAAGTAGGTCCGGCTTTCTATGGATCAGGTCAAACATTTTCTTGTGGGTGTGTGTTCCAAAAAGCTCCTTGGGACGCAGCTTGGACCTCAGACCCTTAACCCTTTGGGATTCCCTTAGAGTCCTATTATAGGTACCTAAGGGTTAACCCCCAGTAGGGGTCCTAAGTGCCACGTAGAAAGCTACGACATCCAAAGCCCTGAATGAGGCTAAACCCTGAACGTAGGACTGTAGGCTTGGAGACAAGCCCACTTCAATTCAGTTTCGCACAGCTCCGAGCAAGGGCATTAGTGTTTACGGTCTAGGGCTTAGGGTTTTAGGGTTAAGCGATTAGGGTTCAGGGGTTAGTTATCTTCTGCCAGCTCGGAATGAAGGAATGGATCTTTGTGGTAGTCCCTGCATAACCCATTGCAATAGCTTCCACCATGTTCTTTCCAATTCCGTCCTTCCCAGCTAACCACATGTAAGTGTAGGGTTTAGGCTCTAGGGCTTAGAGTGTAAGGTTTAGGGGTCTTAGGGTTGCAGGTCTGTTTCCAAAGCTCCCCCAGAGGGTCCATGTAGGTATATGGTATATACTTGGGCCTTAAAGTAGGTATATGGGAACCCTGTTGCGCCCTAAGTGTATACCATCTGCCTACACGGACCGTTTGGGTCCGTGACAGAAGAACAGCGAGAAGAGCGCGCTCTCTCCGGAAATGTCGGGTTTCAATCCAGCGCCCCGAATGTAGGCGCCTAAATAATGAGCAATATTATGGTTCCATATTCCTTGTATAGTTATAGTATATGGTCCCTCAAATGGACCTCAAAATGATATTGGTAATTATTTAGGCCCTTGTAGTAGACTGCTTCTACTTCCCAAGCGGTCAGCCCACCAAACAGCCCAACTTACCTAGACCTCCCAAATTTCCAGATGCATGCATATAGCATATATCTAGACTAACCTAGACCCTTTAAAGCCGGATGACTGTACCAACGTATTAGGTGCAAAACCCTTTTGATGGGTACATTGGTTACTCTAGGTAGCTGATAGACCTAGTTTTTGGGTGAATTGTTTTTTGGCAATGGGATGGTCCTGGCTATAGGCTCAAGCTTACAAAGATTGCCTGCATCGGGCCCTAAATTCAATAAGATGGTGATTACTTACTTCTGGCTATCTGGAGCCTTACTAGCGGGGTTTAGGGCGTAGGGTTCAGGGTCCGGTGGACCTAGAAGTATGTTTATAAGCCTAACAAGCTATTTGCCCCATCAATGCCCAATGTTAACCTTGTTGAATCTTAGGCCCAAAAACCTATACTCTACCTAGAAAGCCTAGTTACCAGTACTAATGGGCTACTTTAACCCGTAGTAGGAGATAGGAGAAAGTTGCCTATGATTATGGGTAACTGGGGCTTTCTAGGTGATATTAACTTTGTCGAGCCTCAATCCCAGAATGCGAAGTCCCAGGACATGACCGCCTTTGTGGAGGACTGGCGGGTACACAGAACTGGGTCTCTGTGAGAATAGGGGCCACAGTCTAAACTCCTCGTATCCCCCTTAATAGGCCCTATAAGACTCCTATATAATCCCCTACATAACCCCCCATTTAAGGAGCTTAGACGCCAGCTCATATCGTATCCTTAGGGATCCTAGCACACTGCTGGAAGCTCCTAGAAAATGACTTTGATTTCTGCCTTACAGCCCTAAGAATTCGACCAGGGTTCCAAGGAATGTCGGGGTGTAAGGTCTGGGACCTTTTCAAAGAGGAAAACCTTAGGGACCCTAGGCATGCGCTAGGGGTCAATAGAAGAGCATAAGCTCGCCCAAAAGTTAAGAGTTGGAAGTTTAGGGTTTGGGGTTTAGGGTGTTTTTGCAGGAATGATTTTCAGAAAGTCCCTGGTTGGGAGGTTCAGAAATTACTTGCTGGTTGCTAGTTGGGGGTTTGGAGGAATGGATCATTGTAATTGCCTTATATTTCCCATCTATATAGCAGCTTATGTGCTCTTTCCCAGTCCCTAAGCCCTAAACCTTAAACCCAAAGAAACAGTTTCCATGTTCTTTTTTTTATTTCTCCATACCCTACCCACAACAAGCAAGACGCTGCCTTACCGTGATGCCAAGCTAGGTCAACGTCATTTGAGCTCTAGTCTAAGCTCCCTAACTGGGCGAATATAGGGGGTTTTATTGGGAATTACTATAGGGGTTATTAGGGGGGATACTAGGAGTTTAGACTATAGCTCATATGGCAAGATCCTAAACCCTAAACCCCAAGCCCTGCGCATCCTTACAACCCCTTCCAGGGGGGCCGTCTTTGTAGGG